GGTATTACTGCCAAAAGATTGAGAAAAATAGGGAGTAAACATGCTTCTAAAGTTCATGGTAGTCAAAATCCAACGGCACAACATCTTAGTTTACTTTGTAGAATTGCAATGAGACATAAGATCAACCGTTTTGATTCTGGAACTTATTATGCTGAGGGTGACACTTCTTCTGATTCCGATACCAATCTTGATACTAATACTGAACCCGAACCTAAATCTCAGCCTAAGAATTATAATCCTTTCGATGCCCAAATCGCAGAAATAGATTCGATGTTAGCAGAAATGTGATGCAATCCAACTTGAATCAAAAAGATCTATAAAGCTATTATATCAGAAACTGATATCGGCAAATTTTTTCTTGATTACTCATCATGGATTGCGGGTGATAGTAGATATAATGGAAATAGATAAATAATCATTAGTTATTTTTTTCTGCTAGAGATATAGTGTATAATATATCAATAGTAATTTTGATTAATATGGTATGGTACTTAACAAGATCCCAGAAGAACTTGATGATCTCCAGACATTGCTTATCTATTTAGAGCAAGTCTTGGACGTGGATCTAGATAATGAAAATCTTAAAGTAAAATTTGTTAATGGCCTGTCATTAGAGAATGGACAAAGTCCAGAGTCCCCGACTCATATGTTCCTATTTCTTGTGAAATGGTGTTCCACACCTGGCACTAACTCCACTATAAAATATGTATATTTCTGAATTGGCAATAATAAACCTCTGAATGAAATAATCGAACGTTTAAAAAATATTGAATTACCTCATCCAGATAAAACTCCACGCCATTGCAGATTACGCAAAAAAGGATTTCTTAGATCCATTGAATTTTTTTACGCAATGTAATATGCAATGTCCAGATCCTTCATCAATGCAACAATGATTTCTACAACATCCATACTTATTTACTATATGTTTTATACAATAACCACCTCCCCATGGCTCATGAAACAATTTACCACATTCCTGACATTTATCAAAGTAATCTAGAAATTTACTATTATTAAGTTTTTTTACTAATTTTTTTATATAACGAAATTCACTTGTTTTTTCGTAATCTCTAGGTATATCATCATCCGAATCAAGGTACTTCACTGAAAAATTAATTCCGGCATCTTTCATTGCTTTAAATCAAAAATTTGATCCATATCGTATTTGTTATATATTAATTGCAGAAAAGCTAAATTACAATTAAATTAAAATCACGTGTGCCGATCACTTTGCTAGAAAAAAAAATGAATATGACTCGCAGGATGTTTCATTTTGATATTTGTGATGGATGATAGAGGAAGGAATTACTTAATATCAATATAGACTTTGGGTATTCAATAACTACAAAGTCTAAATAAAATACACAACATGGAGCTAGGTTTAATGGCACATTATAAACCATTCCAAATAGATTTTGTCAGAACAGTGGCTACCATGCTTCACACTTTTATCGATTTTTAATCCCAATCGGTCAGGAATGTCCTTAGACAAGACACAAGTATTTTAATTATTGTAAAAATACAAGTTATACGTTATTCTTTATTAACCTAGCGAAATGTCCTTTATGTAATGATTACATAGATTGATAATATAAATAATAATATATAGTAAATAATTAAATTAATATTGAAATGAACGTGAATTAATTGTCACGAAATAAATTAATGTTACGAATGATAATAAAATAAACTACTTGTTTGATCATTGATTTATCATAATTTCTATGACCTTCCGTGATACACGATATCAATATTAATATACAATATTTTTAATATTTTTTTTTCTCACCAGATTCTATAATGTTAAAATTTATTCGTAATAAAGGTATTCGTCTGTTTTTTTTCTCAACAAAGTTTTATGACCTTTTTTTATATCCGTATATTGATAATATTATATTGATAATATATAGTTCAAGAAAAAAGACTTCAAGAACTTGAAAAAACTTTCGATAGAAAAGGTAGTAGTAGCAATTAAATTATTTCTCTGACGTTGACGTTTATGAATTATTAATCGATATATATTTTCTTATTAGTTCCTGAAGATATCGCTACGAATCCAGACGTTGTCAATCTCATTTTAAAATATCTAAAAGATAAAGAAAATGACGAAATGCTGGCACTCATATTTATCTGGAATAACGCGGGATTCAATGATACAATGGTACCAAATTGTCGTAATGGTGTCACGGGGCAGACACAAGCAACTATAATCGCAAATCTAGTCACAAATGGAGCGATAAATTATATGAATATGAATACATTATTTATTTTTCAGAAAGGTGAAGCAATCGGTAATTGGGCCAACAACGTGGAGACAAACTTATCTTGGTATGAAATAATTATACATTTCAAATTCTTTGGCATCAACTTATTCCATTATTCTTTCTTAAAGGGCAAGAAAACAAGCCGGGGTTCCCAATATTTGTCATCAACTCATAAGAATAGGTAAGATTTCGGCGCACACAGCAAATGCAGATGTCGAGGATTATTTATATGTTTTAAAATGAGAAAAAAAGATAAAAGTAAGTATTTGTTTTTTGAAATGAATCGCCACTTTTTTCAAAATCATTATGATTAATAATCCATTTGATAATCTAGCAATTTTGTCAGTCAAACAACTTTTATTAAATTCATTTGTTAATTTGTTAATTAATTTATCATTTTCTTGTGCTTCAATCTGAGAAATATCCCATTTCATTTATTGATTTATAAAAAGAAACAAAATTTTCTTTTCTTTTTGTTTTTAGAACAATTTTCCATTGTTCAAGTAATTCATTTGATTTATTAGTGATTCTACTTGTCAAATCATTTTTATTTAATAAGTTGCATGATCCACTTATCAAGTAATCAACATTCTTTTTCAATCTTTTTTACTTTGATATTTTTAGGAAAAAAAATCCATCCACAAAGAACGTTGGTTTTTTAATCATCCCACGTTGATTAATACAATAAAAAAAAATAAAATCAATTTGGTGTGACGTTAATGTGCAATATGCGACAAGATTGTTATTTTAGAGATAGATGATTGTCTTATTTTTAAATAAATAAAAATTTTTCTAGAATGTATATGATACAAAATCATGCAATATTCGTGATTATTTACATGAATACCTTAAAAAAAAAGATATATTATTCACATGAATATATTAACTAATATATATGGTAGTGAAAAGAGACATAAACGAACTTTAATTTTGAAATCCTTCTTAACAAATGGCCACTAGTAACAGTACAATAATAATTGATGATGCTGATGATAATTTGACCGATACTCTTGAATTATGTGTAATTCCAACTCCAAAAGTCTACACTTTATCAATTAAAAGAAGAAAAATTTGAAATAAACCAAAAGATCTAGAAATAACAGACGTAAAACTCAAGGTAAATTTACCACGAATCCTACACAGTATATGCAATTTCAAAACTGGAATAAATATATGCACGTTATGGAAGGAGAACATATAATTATCATAAATAAGAAGACACAAGATGTGAAGGAGGTATTTAATTATGAAGAGGTATGTAGATATCTCAAAGCGAATAACCTTGATTTGGGCATTCTCAATATGTATAGGAATTAATTGGATTATTTTTTCGAATATATGTATGTAATAGTAATAGACCACCAGGGTCAGCTTTATTAATATAGGATAAAATAAAATATAGGTAAAGATAAAGATATAAAATATATATTCTAGAAATTTGCGCAGTTTCTCTTTTCATTTATGGGCTGGCAGAAACCGGATTGGTATTTATTATTGGTAAGAACTATTTAGTTTTCTTTCCATAAAAAATTGAGTCCTAATCCCTAATCTTAATCAATAGGTGCTTGCGTCCGTTCCTTGAACAGTATAGTAGGCCCAACCATATTATCTCTTCAAACAAATCTAGTTCGGCCATCACAAGTTGGACAACTTTTATGTGCAAATAGCATGTTAGAAACCACAAGTAAAATTATTGCACGGCCCATCTTTAATACACTTTATAGTATCCTGGTTTTAGGAGATTCTTTAAATTCAATTTGGCTTATTACTGCTAGTATTTTGGCCATTACTAGTACATTTGCGTTGGGAATTCAATAAAATACTTTTTTGGAATCTCAAGAAATGCAGAGTAGAAGGGCGAGGAGGATTTATTCAGTATTAAGAATGAGGTCGATGTTATAGAGTAGCTTTACTGCGCCACTGTTACGTGACGTTGTGACCTCGGGTCACATTCTATGTAATAAATTCTAAAGCACAATTAATAAAGAATTCTTTTATTTATATCAGGTTTGATAAATTGTTATGTATATGCATATGATATTGCCTCAAGGGAGCAATCCCATGTGATTATAATTACACGAAAAATAATTTATTACATATATTGAATCAGCCCACGATTTAGATACTATATTTGGTTTTATGCTTTCGTTGTTATCTCGATTCCTTTTTCATTTGGATTGAAAATTTGTATGAATTGAGTATAGATTTCTTCCCATTCTTTCATCAGATCATCGAGCCATACAGTACTTAAACCGCTCTTTAGTATACTACGACGTGATAACTCTTCACCGACCATCCTCTCCTGATCTGTTAAAATTCACGATATTTTCTGGTATCTTCGTTCCTTTCTATTCCACTACGATAGAACCGTATATCTCTCTCCAAGTCTTCACGGAAGCATCCCATGGCCCACCTATTTTTCTCAGCCTCAGTAATGACAGAAAATTTATCGGGATCCATTCCATGTTCGATGGCATATTGGCGTAAGCCTGCTTCTGGCCGATAAAGACGGATTTTGTTTGGTACCCTTACTTGAGTTTCCGGAAAACTCTGTACAGCAATAATAACTTTTTTTTGATCGCTACGAAAAGGGCAATTAAGAAAATAGTGATCATTTTTCTCAAGACAGCTCCAATCGCCCCATACACCTCGATGTGTATGTGCCTTTTTACATACTGGACATTCAGCTTTTGAATCGGTATATTTAAAAACATCTCGGTACCATGCATTCGAATGAGTAAAAGACAAAGGGAAACGTTTATGTACAGCTTCATGGATTATACTTTTTTCTTCCGGAAACTTAGAAATTTTGATGATACAGTCTCGTGAAAGATGATTGCCGGCATCCTCTTCGATTTGTTTAGATTCGGAAGTTTCAGAATTTATCCAGGGATCAAGTCCAGTTTTATTCTTATATCTATTATAGAACCTAGAACGAGTTTTATCTGACAAAACGCTTGGCAATTCTGTTAATTTAGCTTCCCACTCTAAATATTCGGGAGTTAATGAATTCATGTTGCCGTTTTATATGATTGTACATCTCTTTAAATTAAAAAAATAAATATGCCTCAGAGAGTCCTCAAAGACTTTAGCGAATTGTATTTGGATAAGATAGCGGAGCTGGAGCAAAGCTTCTAAAGTTTATGCTGTTATCTCGATTTTAATTCCACGCTGTTCACATTTAATAAAATAGGATCCACATTTATATCTGCCTTCTATACCTTTATCCTCATAATGATCTGATTTGCATATTGGGCATAAAGATTCATCTGTAATCCCATAATAATCATTGTTTCCATCTCTACCTTCCCAGTATAAATCAGGATATTGTTCTTCCATTTTGTTACGGAAATAGGCACGGTTATGAACCGGATTGGATGAAGTATTTACCTTATCTTCCTCACCTAAAAACTCGTCTTCATCATCATCCTCACTACCATCAGAGTTAGAATCTGAAAAGCCATCAAATACATTTACTATATCTTCCAAATTAGAGATTTGAGATGATGAGATAGAAGGAGTGGTTGTAATACTTATCTCGGCTTCTGATAAAGTTTCTTCGCATACTTTAGTTTCTGTATCAGATTCCGGTTGGCCATGTGCGCGTGAAGAATTCTTCACGCCGATCAATTTTTGAGATTCAAACGATGATACTTTCGCATCTAATTCTTTAGTATAAAGATTTATAATATTTTGAATTTGTGTACCGGTTAAACTAGAAATAGCATCAACACTGTATGTAATGTACTCAATTTTATCTTTTCCTATCCCGTTGAATAATGTATAGATAGTTCTAGCCTTTTGAGTCATCTTACGCAAATACACTCTCTTGATTCCAGGTAGATACTGCATCATTTCATTATAGATTTGCGTTCTTGCCATTTGATCACTAATATTTTTTTCTGAACTAAGATTCGAAACTTTTTTTTCATATCCCTCACTATAATAATACCATCGCAATTTTTCTTTTCATCCAGTTTTCTCGGCCTTGCCAAATAAATGAGCTAAATGAGGTACAGAACCTGGAGTTAGATCTATATCAACAGGAATGTCCGAAATTTGTTTAATGAAGATAGAATTCAATGGAGTTTTCTTTAGATTTTGTAAAGACATGGAATCGGTTCCTCTAATAAATTCAAATAACTCGTGTAATAAACCTTGTTCTACTTTCTGATTATAGGGAATTTTTATTTCGGAAGAAATGGTACCTGGTGCCTGATTAATAGGCGCTTCTGAAATATCCTGATTGATAGGCTTTTGCTCTGATTCAATAGAAGGAGTATCCTGAGAAGTTAGGAGTACCTCTTGAGTTCGCGAAGTGGAATCTTCGTTACTTTGTAATAATTTCTTTTCCTTGTTTCTCTCCCTAATCATATTACTATTCTTTTCCTTCCATTCCCGATCCAGAAAATCATTGATCTCCTTATCTTCTAACAATTTAGTCTCTGTGTGGATAGATGATGTAGAACATTGTGCTATCGACTTCTGACATACATCAGAATTAGACATGTTATCCGATCTATTTTCCATCTGTTTGGGAGTATTGTCAGAATTTATTTCAGAAGAAACGGTGTTCTGTGTCTGCTCTAAAGACTCGGAATCAATATCATTAGTTGAAGATTGTTTGTTATGCAAACTCCTCTCATTAGAGAGATCTTCGTTAGGTGATGAATTAGGTGAGATATTTTCAGTTGTGCTGGCTCTACCAATAGAAGACATCTCTTGCATATTAGTAATGACTTGAGTTTGCTGTTTGAGCTCCTCAAAATCGTGACTTAATTTCATTACTTTGGCTTTAAGCTCAACATTTTCAGCTTCACGTCTGACACTTTCTTCCATAGCATGTTCCAATTCGGCAATTCTAATCTCGAGCTCATATTTTTCTTTTGCAGTCTGTTCTAATTCTGTAATTCTAGCCACAAGTTTGGCATTCTCTTGTCTTAATAAATCTAATTCGGATTGCATGATCGATAATAATTTTTTTATATAATAAAAGGCATAGATTTATTCAAAATAAAAAAATCATGTGCGCGTGAAGATTCTTCACACCGATCACTTTTGCAAGAAAAAAATTCATGATTCCACGAATACCATTTCTTTGGTGTGTATTGAGCTTATTTTTTGACATCGAATGAGGGCCTACCTATCAGAGAAATTATGCAAATATTATGATTGGTAAAGGTAACGGATCGCCCATAGAAACGTTTAATTAATGTATGATGTTGTAGGAAAATCGTCTGAGATCGCCCATAGAGAATAAATTACTAATTTATCGATTGTAGTGTTTTGCATCTTTAACAGAATGATCCATTGAAACTACTAGTATTATAAAACAATGTGTATTTGCCATAAAGATTTATTATAAAACTGTTATCATGTCTCTTTCTAACCTCCAAATCTTCGCGCTGAATATTTTAAAAGAAACCAACCATACAATTGTCCAAAATATCGATGTTACTGAACTAGCACCATGCTCGGAATGTGATAAAAAAATTTTAACAGTTAGCTATGAACCATTTACAATCCTCGCATGTGGACACACATACCATAGATATTGTATTGAGAAAAAAATTTCACTTACAGATTCAAATATATGTCCTATTCCTGGTTGTGATAAATCTGTCGAGCCCATGGTCTCTGAACGAAGGTTTTCTCAACAATCATCTCAGTCAAGTACTTCATCGATAGTTAGGAGGATGAGTAATCTCAATACAGAAGTAATCCAAGAAGATGAGGAAATGGATGATGCGGATGATGATGCGGATGGATCGGTAGATACTCCAATCAAAAACTCTCCCAATCTTAGTAGTAAAAAGCGGGTTAGTGATTCCACTGAAAAATCATCCAGTAAAAAAGGTAAGAAACTGGTTAAGGACGAGGATTCTCGCATGTTAAAAAGGCTTATCCAGGAATTGATCACAGATATCCCACGAATTTCTGAAGTTAAGGAAAGGGAAGCACTCCAAAGAGAATCCATACGAGGAAGCGAGAATAAGATTTTTTTCGATTTGTACTTAAAAATTTCTAATGCTGAAAAACAAAATGATAATGTGCGTCACGAACTAATAAGAAGTTATTACTACTTTGGGGAGGAATTAGAAAAACGTCTTACCCAGTATAAAGATCTGCCAGAACACAAAGCCCAGAAAAAGATTAATAATGAAGTTAGAGATCAGCTCCCAAAGGAGATTTCCAAACCTACAATTCGAAAGAAAACGGAAAGAGCTCGAAAGGTTTATGACCTTTTTTTCCGTATCAATGATGATAAAAATCAACGGATGGTATATATCCAACGAATAAAAACATTTACGGCATCATCTATTTCGAATTTAAGTTTGGACAATATCAAATATGTAGCATCTCAGGTTAGAAAGGATACTGGAACTTAAATTTTCTTTAAGTATGTGATGTTATAAGGCAATCGTGACCCTGGGTCACGGTCTACAAGTTTGGCAATTTTTTATGTCATATAAATAAAGTTTGGCATATAAATTTCCAAATAAATGATTTAATCGTGTAAATGAGGCTGTGTAATGAAAATTATTCTTCAATGCGTGCTACCACCTGACCCTGCATGATTTATTTGTGCGATTAACCAAATTCGATCAATTACCTCATTGTACATGCTTTTACTTTGTAAGAGAAATTCCTTGGCGTAAAGAATCTTTGAAGTGTATATGCGCGAAAGAAACGTTTAAAAAGGACAGTATATCGAAGTTATGAGCTAGTCATTTTTATATTGATTTTATTATTTTCATACATCGTATTAATTTATAAAATTTTTTACCATGTCAAACCAATTTTCAAAAATCGTAACACTTTTATTGGAAGAATCATTAGATGCCATTTGCTCTGCAACGGTTGTTTATCTGGCGATGGTTGATAATTCTTTGGGTGTGTATGAGGATGTTAGAGATTTGGCTGGGCGTGCAGTGGAAGAAGCATTGAAAATTGTAGATGATTCTGATCGAAGAGAAAAAATATTGAATATTTTACCAGAGGTTAGTGATATTTTTTCAGGATTCCCAATGGCTATAATTTATATGGAATGATGATACTACAGTAGATGAATGAGCTGTTTGTTTGGTTGGCCATTGCTGAAGGCCGGGGGATGTCGGCCCGGAAGAGCGATATGTTCGGGAATGAATAATTCTCCTATATGTCGAGGGTTTCTGCTCCCCCCTGGCTGTGCGTGGTCATTTCAGCCTGCAATAAAGCATTATTGTTCATTGAAAGATGTCTGATTATGTAAATATATGAAAGCATTCTATATGAATTTGACATCGCGATTTTAACATACCGGTATTTATGATATCTGCTGTAGATGTATATTGGATATAGAAGTGTCGTAGGTTTGAGAGGAATAAAGGCTCTGAATACAACATGTAAATCAATCCCGAATTATACGCAAGAAGAAGTAGAGGAAAATCTTAGGGTGTTGAAGTCGAAACTTAGCTCACCAATTACGGATGCCGACATGTCTCTTTATGATTCTATTAAGAAAAATCTAGGTAAAATTGATTCTTCTGAGCTCACATGGAAAGACCCGGAGGTGAGCACGGTTCTTAGCGAGGATTCACAAATAATAAAAAATCTGGGAAGTAGGCAAAAACGTCATTTTTTGGTGAGAATTTAACGATATGTGAAATTAAGTTTATGATTACGATTTTCACTAATACTATTTGCATTAGAAACCACGCGATAATATGAAATGTGAAATTCCCGAGTCGGTTTACTCCAAGTGTGATAAACTTATACGTAATTTCCATAAATCAGAGATTCCGAATCAACTTAAAAATATTTTACATGATAAGACATGGAAAGAGAATGAAACTGATCTGGGGAAAAGAGTAGAACGTATTTTTGCTGTACTGTAAGTAATTTTAGTGAGTATAAACTTTCCTTGTGGACCCTAACATATATTTCGTATACATAGTAAAGAAGTATCGAATAACCCAGCATTTGAAACTGGTGAGTCTCGCAAAGAACAAAGTGAAGGTACTTATATTGCAGATGTAGTAGTGCCTTTACTTCGAGCTACCTTGGAAGATCTGCCAAATGGGTGTGTTTGCTTGAGTATGGCAGAACGCCAGAGTATGGCAAGTAAATTACGCAAAAATTTTGGAGTGTTGGGTCAGTTGATATATTACACAGGGATATCAAAATTGGATTAACTACATATGGTTTAGATTCTTGTTAAATCATGCGTATTAATATTAATGTGTATTATATTTCGATTTTTTCCCATATATCAGTATTACTATTGTAAACGTTCAATGTTTAAAAGCGAAATAAGTAATTTAATTATTGTAAAATTACAAAGTTATCTTTTATTCACTTAAATTCATGTCCTTTTTATAAGAATACATAAGATTGATAATATAAATAATAATATAAATAAAATATAAACTAATATAAATAATAATATAAACATAATATAAATAATAATATAAATAAAATATAAACTTAATAAACTTATCAATCTATCCGGATGATTATTGGACATAGGTATAAATAGTAATAAGATAAATAGTGTAATTAAAACAACGCGAATAATAAATGTTACAAATAAAATTAATGATGTGTCACGTTATTAAATTGAATGTTACACATCCACGAAAGTAATTATATCGCGTTAAATTGTTACAACTATTACTATTACTATAGATTATTTCTTCACTTTATTAAAAATGAATCGTGATATTCATATATATATAATTGATAAAATTAATAGGTCTAAATCCCTAAATACACTATAACTCGTTAAATCATATACACTTATAACATACTATATAAATAGGTCATATAAATGGATAATTTTAGCGAATTAATAGCTCATTCTGGTTCTAAATGTAGTAATGATGAATGGACTGAATATTTTCGGATGCCTCAAGTTTGTACCAATGAAACTCCTGGTGAGTGGAAAGAACGAATTTGGACTCGTTTGCAGTATTTCAGAGATTACGACCTTTTACCTACTGGAGGGGTAAAAAATATCTTGAAGCGAGAAGATTGACCCAAGTCCCATCTGGGAATTTATATGCTCCTACAATAGGGATGGCTATCTGTTTCTCTTGTGATCAACTAGTATATATCGGAGAAATGACTAAAAA